AGTTTTTTATATGTAGTTGTTTTTATGTATTTATTTTTTTAATTGTTGTACGCCACCCAGAGTCACCTTGTGTGAGGTGGGCAGCTATATAAATATGATAAATAAATAAATAAAATAATTGGAGTTACAAGACTTTCTGAAAACCATTTATTTAAATTAGTTGGAAAATATTTATCACAGTGTGCCCTCCTATGGTGACAAGTATGGTTACAGTTTTTTTTAAAGTCACAAACCTGCACAGGATGTTTGGTGGTGGGTGAGTCGGGGTCAATTTGTGCATCTTTTCCCACTGCAAAGGTGGCTCTTGATGGGTGTGCCAGGAGCTGCAGTCCCAAAAAGTGTTGAAGACAGGACAAAAACTATATGATTGAATTTACATTGAGATTTAATCAACATTAAATACAATTAATATGATTGTCTTCCACCTATGCTTTTCATCATTTTTCTCTTCTATGACATTAAATGATACAATTTGCTAACTTTCTGAGGTCTCTGGGGTCCAACCTAGAAATGTTCAGAGCAACATGCAGGCTTGGAATATTTGGTTGTAAACACTTTCACCAAACAGACACAATGTTCACATACACATTTTTAACCTGGAGTGGGATGACAGCAAATGATGGGCAGGTAACATGGCATGTTAGTCCAGATAGGCACAGAAAGGATATGCAACACTACTTTCCAAGTCATCCTCTAGCAAAGAAGGAAGGGCATTTTAACAGTCACCCAAGTCAATACCTGTGTGAATACTTTAATCACATGTCTAGCTACCCTCACTGTATTTATTAAATTTATAGGCCACCTGATTATATCATGACCCTAGGCAAGTATAAGACAATTTAAAACAATGCAATACAAAACAATACAGAAAGCAAACATCCAGAGAAAATAACATATTACTAACAAGCCCATCATCCCACAAGGGGTCCACCATTCACTCGACCCAAGACCTGGGGAAAGAGGCAGGTTCTGAGGGCTCATTTGAACAAGTGTGGGGTGGACGGCCATACAAACCTCTGGAGGGCTATCGGGTGCTATGACACAGGAGCCCTGCTTCCTGGGTCCCATCAGATGACATTCTTTAATCAATGGGACCCAGAGCATGCCAACCAAGACAGATGGTCCCTGGGATAACTAGATCCTATGCTTGACCAAAGCCAAACAAAGCATAGTAAGGCTTTATGCAAGAATGGTTTTTTTTTTTTCTTCAGTTGGTGGGGTCACTGATTCTTTGGGAGGGTTAAAGGCCACCGAAGGCAGAGTGATGAGGGAGTATGGATGAGGCCGTCACACACATGAACTGGTCTGGAAGCCACATTATCAAGTTATGGTAATTGTTTAATCAAAAGTCAGCACCATGATCAGAAGGAGCTCTATGTGTGCTAAAAGTGATTTCAAGAGCCACTTCTTTGTTTACCGTGATGCGTCCCTGCAATATAACCAATAGAGGGTAAAGCATTAAAACAAGGTCAGTGTTCAGTGCTACAGCAGATGCATTGTGTACACAATCCCTGGGATTTGGAAATCTGGCTTGAACAGTTCTGTCTGAATCCATGGATAACCATTGCCAATCAGAGTAAACAGGATTAAGCTGTCAGAACAAGGAAGCTTTCTAGATGCCAACAAAATCCATCTAAAGCAAAAATGGCTAACGTGGCCTTCTAGATACTGTTAAACCACAACCGCAGTCATTCCTTATCATTGGCCATAAATTGATGGAAAAATTGGAGCTCAGCACCATCTGCCCATTTCAAGCTTAAGGCATGCTTGACAAAGTGAGTTTTATTCCTAACTTCCTGACACAAGGGAAAAGGAAACAGATCTTTCCATTGTTCTCTTGGTCTTGATGCTATACAGCCATACTATAAGAATTATATACCATCCTCAAAAAAAAAAAAAAAAACCTTGGTATATTCTTTTTTGGGGTGAGTCACTTATGAATATGACAATTTTTGCAGGTGGAGACTGGGAAGCAGCAACTCTTGGTTCTACTTGCTAAGGACAAAGGAGCTCTTTTTGCCCTTTACTGCTTTGACAGAGGCTAAAGCCTCTGAATGAGTCACTACTTTTGCCAGGCAAGAAGACAATGCCGGGATGTACTTGCTTACAGGAAACAGTGATTCAGAGTGACCCCAAAATGCTTTATAAACTCTACTTTATGATTTCTAAGCTTCATCCAGAGTGAAATAAAACAGGATACCATAGCAAGAAGATTCAAAATAGAAACTTTAGGATTGCAGTGGGATAATCTGAGCAAGAAATATCCTGACGGCCCTACATAAAGTCCCAGACAAAGTATTGAGCATCCTTGCTATTTAAGGTCCATAGCTTGGGACTACCACATTTGGGTTGCAAAGCTCCAGACAACTACTAGAAGGCAGTCTAGAGAGAGAACACTAACTCCTGCCATCTAGTGGTCATTTAGCATTTTTGCAACCCAAGCCTATCAGCCTGATTTGAGCAGCTCCCTAGGTCGTAACTTTAATGTTTTTATTTATTTATTTGTTTGTTTTGTTTAATTAATTAATTTATTCAAT